ATTCTCCAAACTCTCTGCCGTCCATCAGAATGATACAAGTTGAATTTTGATTCATCACTCCAAATAATATTATTCCAATCATTAATGTTCCAATTTTTTCTTTCTCTGCACCAACTAAATCGTTTTTTTCAATTAACTTCAGAAACAAAGGGTTTTCTCAATGCAGCTCGACTATAATATCCTTCTCCATGGAGATAGCTACAAACTGTTCGATCACAAATAGGATTGTCTGTGATTTCATTTAATATGTAAGTTATCTCTCTAGCAGGAGTAAAATGATTTTTTATGACAATTCTTTTTAAAGTCCTAGAGTCTCGATCCGTTAAACTTTTTGGTCTTCCAATTCTAGATAAAACAGTAATTTGACCTTTTTCGCGATATGCTTTTATTGCACGCTGTACTTGTGTTTGAGTACGACCAATGGCATTTGCTATTTCTCGAGTTGTTTGACCAGCTTCCCAACGACCAATTATTCTTCCTCTTTCAAAGTCAGTTAATTCAGTGTTTTCAGTATTCTGTGTATTTGTTTCTGTAAGAGTCATTGTGTTGTTGATTAAAAAATAAGAGTTAAAAAACGTTAAAACGAATAACAATATTTGTGAAAAAAAAATTTTAAATGTAACACATTTATTTTTTTTAGTCATTTTTACGTTTCAATTCGATTCTTGACCAGTATTTGACAATTAATTATGAGGTTTTATAAGTATCCCTTTGAAGACAAAAGAAACAACATTTACTAAGCTCCCAAAATGTGTTAAAACATGACATCTAAAGTTGGCTCTAATCTAAAGTTTTTTGGAAAATTTCCGGAAATTTTTTTTTTGTCTTTTAAAGATTATAAAATTACCAATATTTAATTGAATGTTGTGGAACTTGAGTATGTTATAGAATTCATTATGGAAAAAATTTTTTTGTTATTACACAACATCAACTTAATTAGTAAAATAATGACTTTTTATATCACCGGAGTTATTCAATTATTTTTGCCGATCATCAGGTGAAGCGATACTTTTTTCCAGTATTGCCAAAATTATTGTAATGTATGAATTGAAAGGAGGAAAACATGCTTTAGTAGATAATGTTAATACTATTGATACATTATCATATACAGTGGCGATCATAAATAATGCAACAAAAAAATAAAATTCATTAAATCAAAATATTTTGTGAAAATTCAAAGACATGCTTCTTTTTTTTATGATAGTTTCATTTGTTAATAACGTTGTTTTTATTATTGAAATTCAAGGATGTATCCATAAATCAATTATTTTTCAAATGATGCATTTATTCAATAAGTGGTGTTGCATTATTTATTTTCTTTTTTAACACGGCTTACATAATATATAAATTTTAGCTAATCCAAATATATAAAATAAAATAAAAAATAATAACATTATAGAATTTAACCACTACCACCTTGTATAAACACCTCGTGCCTTGATAACATCATGGATTCATTCTGGAATAGAATGGATTAGGTTGGTGCAAGTTTCAACATCAATTTCAAACCAAACCTGTTGTATCTTATTCCATAAATCTTCCTTGCATGAAATTTGCCCAGGGAGATGCCTGAGATGACAATCAACCTCATTCCATAGATGCTCTATGGGATTAAGGTCTGGGGATTGGGGGGTCAATCCAAGATCTTTATTTATTATTTTTGGGCCATTGTTTTGTTGAATTCACCATATGCTTAGGGTCTCCATCCTGTTGGAATATGACCTCTTTGACATTAAATCCATGATCTTTGATAGTATTCATAAAATCTTTATGAAGTATCTGTTGATACAATTTGGCATCCATCATGCCATCAATCCTACAAAAGCCACCAACACCCCAAGATGTAAAACAGCCCCATATCATCACTGACCCACCCCCAAACTTCACTGTAGGTTTAATGTGGAAATGGTTTAATGGTTCCTCTGGACATTTCCAATAGCATTGCTTCCCATCTGATCCAAAAACCTTAAACTTAGACTCATCGGACCATATAGTCTTTGACCAGTCTTCAATAGTCCAATGTTCATGTTCTTTTGCAAATTCTAACTGACGCTTTCAGTGTTTACTGCTGAGGTAGGGTTTTTTTCTTTTAATTCTTGATACTAAACCATTTGCATGAAGTATACGACAAATGGTAGGTGACGAAATACTAATATTTTCTTTTCTTCTATACATTTTTGGACCTCTGGAGCAGATGAGCACCTTCATGAAGTGATGAGATTGACAATTTTATTTTTTATTGTTTCATTTATAATAGATGGTCGACCTGGTTTTGGTGCATCTTTGAGTGAGTGTTGTTCACGCAATCTTTTATTAATATGAGAAACTGTTGAGGGGCTAATATTTGTTGACTTTGCTATTTGCCTTGTTATATGTCCATTTTGAAGAGAAAGAAGAATTTGGACTCTTTCTTCCAGAGTTGTATGAGGCTTTTTTGTCTTGGCCTTTTTACTAAAAAGTTGTAACAATGGGTATGGCATGTAAACAAACACAATAAAATTTCTGATCTCCTGATTCTTGTATAAACGATCATATATAATGCAACACACATTTTGTACTAATCACACTTTTATTCTAAGATTTGACATAGAAATAATTATTGAAATTTATATATATATAAATTACATTATTAACAAACAAAACTATCAAAAAAAATTACATATATCTCTGAATTTTCGCAAAATATTTCAATTTAACAAATTTTATTTTTTTGCTGCATTATTTATGATCGCCACTGTATTTCTGTTTGTTTGTTTGTTCATGTTTATGGAAATAGGTTATTTACTAATGATTGTAGTGCAGGTGGTAAATTATATGCACATATTACTCCTAAAGAAGTTATTTTGGTAAAAATTTTTCATTTTCATTTCAAAATAATTTTCTTTCTCTTGATGAAAATACATCATCCTTTTATTCATTTTTTAATAATGAGAATGCTATAAAGCAATTGAACATATTTTTAAAAATTAGTTTAATAATTTTTTAATAATAATAAATTTTTTTAAAAAGTTCATGATATAAAGTGGGTAAATTTAATAGTGTTAAAAAAAAATTAACAGGGTAAATTCATTATATAAACCCTTGGGTAAACTTAATATAAAAATCATGAAAATTGACTGAGACATCAATTAGAAGTTTCCGGGGTCCTATTAAATCATTCGAATTAATACAAATAAAAATAATAAATAATATAGACAATTTCACTCCGGAATTACGGGGTTATTGATCAGTGAATTAAGGTC